AAATCTGGATTGGTCATCATTAACATCAATTTGATCTAACATGGGGACGTTAACAGACTTTCCATCTTGTTCTTCCAACCTGCCTACTGCCTTATTGTTCGAATCAGCCAACTTATTTTGCTCGATGTCAGAAGTTAAAACATCGTTAGATAAAACTTCATTCTGTTCGATTCCTATCTTGTTTATAGTACTATCGTTCACAGTACTATCATCGACCGATTCATTAGCATCAATTTGCTCTAACATAGGCAATTTAATAGACCCTTTATTTTCTTCCTCTGACTCACGGCTACGTGGTTCATGGGGATATATTTGATCAGAATCAGTTTGTTGGAAATGATTTAATGTATTGTCCTTCAGTTCTATTCCTATCTCGTTCATAGTATCATTGATGTCGTTTTCATCAGCATCGATTTGATCCAATAAAGGGACATCAATCAACTTTTCATGTTCATCTACCGTATCGGAAATAGTAGTATCGTCGATTTTAGGATGATTAGTATCAATCTGTGCTAACGCAGGAACATGGTCAGGTTTTTCAATTTCTTCTCCTAATCCATTTAAAGTAGTTTCATTTATTTGGGAATTATTAGCATATACATGATCCAAAATTGGTACACGAACAGGCTCTGCATCCTCATAGAAAGCTATATCTTTCTTTACTTCCTGGTTCCCATTTTCAATAGCAAGAGTGGTCTTATCGTCAATTAGATCCAACTCTGAGGTCAGAAAATCTTCATGCCGGAACTCTCTTCGTTCAGCTATCATTTTCTTATCCATTTGAGACGTTTTTGAATCCCTTTGACTCAAACAATTGCCTGGAGAATAATTTTCTTCAGATATATTTACAAGATTGGTATCATCTACGACACTTGATTCGTCTATACTTGTTTGATCACCATATAAAGTTTCCAAGACTGGAAAAGTCATAGAATTGTCTTTTTCGTCTCTCTCTTCTGATACTTCATGAATAGTAGTTTCATCTAAAGTTGAAAGGTTATATAAAAGTGGCTTTGGTATTGGTTTTGGTATAGTTCCAAAATTAGTTATATCTTCTTTTCCAGATACATCATTATTATTTATATGACTGTTTTCTTCATCGACAAATTGATTAGGTATGTAGGACTCAGGAAGATGCCCATTTTTCGAAATTATTTCATCTTCAAGACATTTCACTGAATTTAATCTAATATTGTACTTATTTTCAGCTTCTTTTAACTTGAGTAACACAGTCTCGGGATCTTCTTCTGCAACAGTTTTGAATACAGGAACTTCATTAACATGCTCAACTTCAATTGTATAATCCTCTTGATGTGCCTCGTCTGAGGTTTCCATTTCAGAAGGACTTGTCCTTTCATATGCTTCATGTTTATTCGAGGGATTTTCTTTGCTATTGTTAGAAGAATCTTCATAATCTCGTTCTTCATCAGCTAATGAGCCTTCAGAAATATTTTCAAAATCATCAACTAATTGTATAGAATCATTGGAACTAGTCTCCTCTTTAAAAAACGACTCAGGTGCATGCGCCACTGTATCTGCTATTTCTTTACTTTCTTCTTCTATTCCTGAAAGGTTACCAGGTTGAATGTTGACATCTGTAGTATCATAATCAGCCGCATACCCACTAGTTAAATTTGTCGAATATTGCGGTAAGCCAAATTTATCATAGCTATCGGAGCCACGGGCTGTTATAAATGAGTTTTCATCCGTCATTTCATTAGATTCTTTGAGAACAGCTTCTGCCAAACCCATCAAATTACTGCCAGAAAGAGCATTGCCTTCGTCTGCTTCATCTACATTTCTATCTTCAACATGATTAGGGTACACCAGTGACATAAAGGTTTTTATCTTCAGGTGTTTTTCAGCCTCCAGATATATCTGATGATTCTCATCTTCATCCGGCTCGTTTTCATAGTTTCTTTCATTAATTATTCTATTATGAAGCATATTTTTCGAGTCTTCTTCGTATGTACGACTGAGTGCGTCAGATTCAGAGTTAGAGTCTTCTTCATTACTTTTATATGCGTCTTCTTCATCGCTATCTAGGATAATCACTTCATCATCGATTTCGTTATCCAGATTAGTATTTATTTTCAATTCAGTATCTATACGTTCATGTTCATCCATGCCTTCTTCTTCATGCTCAACTTCTCTATCTACATTTTGGTACTCATATTCTCCTTCATATTCATTTTGACTTTCATCTTCATCTTCATCTTCATCTTCATCTTCATCTTCATCATCATCATTATTATCACCTCTGTTACTATATTCGGAACTATATTCTGACAGTTCATCTTGATGAACTTTGTTGCTATTCATATAATGATCCAGTAACCTCGGTCTTCCATCTTTTATTTGGTATGTTACACCTTGGGAATGATTTATATTTATACTTCGATTCTCGTTCTTGTCTTCATTCTCATAGGAATTAGACGATTTATCCGAATTAGAGACCTCTTCATCCTCTGAAGAGACAATTTCAATTATGCCATCATCCAGATGTTCTTCGGATTCTATTTCAGGCTCATCTTTTGCCTCAACATTTTTAGAAATATCCATCAGATCAATTTCATCACTAACTGATTTATCAGCTTCATTCGGAACTTTATTATTTCTACCAATTTCATTTCGTTTATCCAAAATAGACCCTAGTTTCCTGAATGAATCGTCGAAAGGAATTTGCCTATACTTTTCTCTCAAGTCTTCTATATTTGTCTGATTTTTTAATTCTATAGATTCACGGTATTGCCGGCTTAGCGTACGTTTCATACGAGTATCTAAATCATCAATCCAAGATATCAAATCCTGTTGTTGATTAGAGCTGTCCAAGCTTGTTATTATTCTTGATTTCTCAGTCATTGTACTTTTGGTTGGGGTATTTATTTGAGACAGGACTGGAGTTTCCTGATTGTGCTCTTTAATAATTGGTTTCACCTTAAATGGTGATGGAAATTGATCTATTCCCATTGTTATATTGAAGAACTATCAACAATATAAAGATAATTAATAGCTATTAGTTTTTACATAGATAGAGTACGTTTGTATTGATATAATTAATTCGCAAATATAAACCATTGAACCCTGTACACGACTACAAAGTAATTACAAAGACTGTTAGATACACCTATTTATGCTACAGTGATTAGTGAAAAAGCAAGAATAACTCTTCCATCTCGTTATATTTATAATAATGGGCTAATTAATAATAGAAATCCCCCAAAACTTATTGATGGTGATTGTAAAAATGCCTTAGTGTTATTATATATATTTGAATATACAAGTAATAAATGCGCTATGCTTTACAAATAAGATTTAAAATGGGCTTTTGGCGAGCTCCAGTGTTATAAAATTACTCTAACAATTGTCAAAAATTTCATAGAGGGTTTTGATTCTATTAAATTTACCGATATTGTTGATTTCTCTTACTTGAAGATTTTTCAATGTCTTTAATTCAGATTCCAATAACAATTCCTCTTCGTTTCCTTTGACATCCTCACGTTCACACTTCTCTAATAAGATTTTATTGTCATTCTTAAACTGCTGTATGTTCTGTAATATATCCGCCATACAAAAAGTCAAGGAATTGTGTAAGAAATTATATGCGCTAAATTCCTTGTGTCTGAAAAGGTAAAATGTCTTAGAAGCAGCTCTATCAGCACTTCTGGGAACTTCTTGTATCTCAATCATATTGAGATTCATCAATTTAAAGAGTTCATTCCTAACAGTCTTATCTTTCAATAAACTGGAATTGGATAAGGTTTTCTCATCAGCCAATTTCAATGACTTAAGGCATCTTAAAATTCTGAAGGCATCTAAACCTAAGGTTGTTTTTATTAATGTGTCGTAATTAAATTGCTTTACATGCTTCATTAAATCAGTATATGGTACAGTGTATGTACCAGGGGTAATTTCAATTAAGAAAGGTATTACCCCGGATGATAATAATTTCAAATGGTGGTTGATTAGAGAAACCGAATGAGGTTCTGAATTGTCGGTATTATGCATATCAAAGTCAATGTTAACCTCCAGTACACCAGAGTCAAGTTCAAGGATTAAGTTACTAGTGCTATCTTCTGTTTTAATTTTTTTGGAGTTCAGATCTTGTATCTCATCGTTGACTCTTTTCTTAGGATTGAATGTCGGCTTCAAGAAATTATGGGTTAAGATGGAATTTCTTAAATCCAATTCCTTAGGAGTAATTTTCACCAAGTCCTTCACATTAAATACTATTTTTTTATCATCAACTAACAGATTTTCAATAGAGTTTACAAATAACCGTTCTTCTACTGGATCATTTATCAATCCAGATATTTTCAAAAAGCTATGTCTCAAGTCCGGGGAATTTTGTTCGATTAATTGTAGAGCACATTCGTAGACCTTTGAAGTTAATATACCAATTCTTGCTTTGGCTAAGTTTGTCAATTGTTCTGTTCTACGGTGCTTTTCGAACCTGGACAAATTGAATGCAATGACCAAATTTGGGGACAATTTTTTGATTCCATTTTCAATCTGATACAATTCTTTGGCGCTGTTACCGGATTCTAATAAATTAGTAAACTTGAGCTTTGTTTTATCCTTTGCTTCATTAACCCTCTTGATCTCACTTACAGTGGTCGATCTAGGCGTGTTTTTCAAAGTCTCTTGGTATAATTGGTTCCATAAATCGTCTATTGGTTGGAAATTGGATAACTGTACTCTGCGTAACCAACCATCGCTGAATAGTTTTAAAAGCAAGTTTTCTTTGTTGAAAACAATGTCTGGGTCCTCAATATTTTGTAAATAATCTTCTATTTTCATATGACCTACTTCTATGATATTCTGTATGATTTCAGCTGATTCATCACCATATGTTAATTTAATATGGTTAATGATATCTCCACTATGCAAGAATATCAACAATCCATTCTCATTAAAGCTGTAGAAAACTTGTTTTGAAGAATCTTCTTTCCAGTATGAAATACAACCTAGTTGAATCAATGAGACTAATGTAGATTTGACTAGCTTGAGAGGAACTTCAGATCTATGACTAAGGTCTTTAGCAGTTAATCTTCCATTCGATATTAATGTAGATACGATTATAGCAGCAACTTCACCTAAATGTGTTTTTGCTAACGTAGTATACAAATACGATTTCGCCGACTGCGTTTTTGCAGAATCAGGAACCACAGCATTCATCGTAGATTGAAATAAACCGCCTTACTTATTACTTCGTCTTGCAAATCACTATAATCGTGGTCTTGATGTCTGCTTGAAAAAAAAAGTAGACCAAAAATTTATGTGCAGACTAACTCAGCTATGAATAAATTTCGGCCAAAGATATGAGAAGGGAATAGTTAAGAAACAGCTTTACAGAATACTATGTCGTCGTTGAAAAGATGCTTGAAAGAAGCAAAAAGTTCAATTGAACAGAATGATCCAGAGAGTGCTCTAGAAGCTGTAGAAGAAGCACTTGAATTTGATACTGAAAATTATTTTGCCTATATATTCCAGGGAAAATCATACCAGCTTTTAAATGACAACGACAAAGCAATAAAGTCTTTTGATAAGGCTACTAGCTTAGAACCCGAGAATTTATTAGGCTGGAAAGGGTATTTCCAGGTAGCTAAGGCACAAACTGATTATGACCTCTTTTTTCAGGTTTTAACGAAGATAATTGAACAACAAATCAACCAAGGAATCGGCATTGGAGAGACATTAAAAGATACAAGAAACTACTTAGAGCATAATAAATATAAAAGCAACCCAGATTTATACGAAAAGTATTTAAGAAATATAATACCTGGATCAGAATTGGGGGATTTAGTGGGATCAGAATTAGGCAAGGCCGAAGATAACTTGAAAAATTTGATTGATCTTTTAAGAAGGAAGGAAAACGATACAATCAGCCGTACTTTATCAAAAGAGAAAATGAGATTCCCTCGTGTTCTAACAGTAGATCAAAAAAACTACTTGAATAAAGTTACATGGTCAATACATGAAAAGGCTGGTTTATCACCGATATACGAAATGTTCTTGAATATATGTAATAATGATGAGTTAAGGAAACCAATTCAGGAGGAGTTTTTGAAATATAAGTATGAGCTACTTAAAGTTGCACCCGAAAAAGGTAGTCTTTTGGAAGGTATTAAAGACCTTATGGAAGGCATGATTATCAGCAAAACAACTTCCTTATTTTGCTGGACTTTATATTTAGATTGGGTTGATGTACAAGATTTGAATCAATTAGAGAAGGATAAAATAATATTCTTCTTGAAAAATTTTCATAACGAAGGACTAGGAATGATGCTATATTCATTTTTGATGAGTGATATATCTCCATTCGATAAGACAGACATAATAAAAGAATTAACTGTCATAACTAAGAATAAAAAATTAAATGATAGAATGAATAATGATAAGCTTGAAGAAGTTGATGATGAAGCTGAAGCGAAATTATTGGAAAAGGTGCAAGAATCTGAAGATAATGAGACTTTTGATAATACTCTATCACCAGATCAAGTACTTAAGCTAATGTTAGAGGGTTATCAGAGATGTAATAATTCTGTATTGGCTAACCGTATAATATGCCGTTACTATATCTATTTGCGTGAATATGACCAAGGTTCTGAAAAATGTCGTCAAGCCATTAAAATATTGGCTGACTTGCAAAGAAACCTAGGTGTCAATCTTGTAAACTCACGAGAAGATTTACTTTGTTCTTTAGCAATTATTTATACATATTATGAAGCTCCAAAGAATTACTCGAGGGCTTTACAATTGTACGACCGTATATTGGAAAGTAATGAAGGTAATGTGAATGCAATTATCGGAAAAGGGCTAATTTTGATTGAAAAGAATGAACCGGTCATGGCAAAGGAACTTTTACAAGATGTTCTTAAACATCACCCTTCAAATAACCTGGCACTTATGGAATTTGGCTGGTGTGAAATTAAATTAGGTAATTACTTGGATGGGAGAAAGGCTTTAATTAATGCTCTAGAAAAAATACAAGGTATGGACTTGAACAGTCGGAAAACTCGAGCACATGTTCATTGGAGAATTGCAAAGGGCTACCTTTTGGAGAATAAAGAGAGTAAAAATATAGATGAAGCTTACGATCACTTAATTAAATCATTAAAGGATTCTCAAAATCATGCTCCATCTTACACCTTACTAGGAATTCTTTATAAAGAATATTTTAATGACTTTCCTCGTGCTCAAAAATGTTTTTACAAATCTTTTGAGTTGGATGTAGCTGAGATTGAAGCGGCGAAGTATTTGGTCGAGGACCTCACGGCAAAGAATGACTGGGATATTGCTGAAATTCTTTGTAAGAGGATTGTTCAATCAGAAAGATCAAGAAGGACTTTATTGAGCAAAACATACCAAGATGAGGATAGATCATGGCCGTACAGAGTATTAGGATGTTCTGCATTAAATAAACAAGATGATGCAAAAGCTGTTGAATGGTTTCAAACCGCTCTTCGTATGGCCGCTATGGATACTCAATGCTGGCTTGGACTAGGTGAAGCCTATTATAATTGCGGTCGATTAGATGCAGCCAGCAAGGTTTTCCGCCATACTTTGCAAATTGGAGAAGGTTCCTGGATCGTCAAATATATGTTAGGTCTCATAACGTGTGAAATGGGTGAATTTGATGAAGGCCTTCTATATTTAGAGGAAGCTTTGAATGAGAAACCCGAAGAGGAATGTATTTTGAATGCTATTTATGAATCTATGATAGAAAATGCGAACAAATTGATTGCCGGTGGGTTTTTTGGAAGAGCTATGGAATCTATTTCTAAGGCAATTCATTATATTTCAAAAGCTTCAAAAGTAAATAAGTTGTCGCAAAATATGTGGAAATCGTTGGGACAATGCTTGAGGGTATTTTTGGTTATACAAGGGCGCGCGGTTATATTGCCTTTAGACCAATTGAAAGGTGTGTTCAAAGGTATTGATTTAACTTCGAGCACTAATCAATTACTACAAGAATTGGTATTAATTGATGAAGATGTAAGTCTTGAAAAAGCAGAGAGCTTGTTTAAATCTGAAGAATATACAGAAAGTATTTCTATCTTTATTATACTAGCTGCAAAGGCTGCAATTTCCGTTTTACCTGTCAAAGTTGGAAAGTTACTTATATCAATAGTTTACTACAATTTGGGATTGGCTTATTTAGAGAGCTTTAACCTTACTGATAAAAGTAGTTATCGAGAATCAGCTATCAAATGCTTTAAAAAAGCCATTCAATTAGAATCGAATAATGCATTGTTCTGGATTGGATTGGGTAATTCATACGTTTCCTCTAATCCTCAAGTTTCCCAACATTGTTTCATCAAAGCTACATCATTAGAAAGTCGAGATGGTGATATATGGACTAATTTGGCTGCATTGTACTTAAGATATGGAGACTCAGAACTTGCACAACAAGCATTTGCAAGAGCGCAGTCTGTGGCACCACAGAATTCACAGCCATGGCTAGGAAATGCGTTGGCTGCGCAAGCATGCGGAGAAGACGTAAAAGCATCGAGCTTGTTTACTCATGCGTACGTTTTATCAAACGGAAGGTCTCCTTTAGCTCAGTTATTATACGGTTTATCCATCATCGATAAAAGAATTGGTACATCAGGAAGCGATCCAAGAGATATCGAAACAGCTCAAGAGTTTAGTATTGCTAATTTTGCTATGATGAACTACCTTAAATTCTCTCCAGAAGACGAGACTGGATTAAAAGTCGCCTTGGTAATTGCTGAGAGATGCAAGAATTATGATGCAGCTGTGAAAATAGGTGAAAAACTCTGTGCTCTCCTAGAAGCAAGGTATGAGAAAACTGAAAGCCAAGTGGCCTTAAGTGATTATGCCAAAGCTAAAAGTCAAGTTTCGAGAATATATTTGGGATTATCAGAATATGAGAAGGCATTGGAAAACGCACAAGTTGTGTTAGATATTTTTGAAGATGAAAACGATGTCAATGAAGATCACAGATCATCTATACTTTCATCAAGAATTAGTATCGGATTGTCGTTTTTCTTAAACGATCAATTTGATGAAGCTCTTGAACAATTACAGTTAATTTTGGCTGATTATAGCGATTCTGCTAGGCTCATTACATTGACAGCTCAAATATTGAATGCTTTTGGTACTGAAGATACCAAGCAAGCAGCTTTGGACCAGTTGTTCTCTTATATTGAACAACTGGGAGCGTCATTAATTGTGATATTAACACTTGGTGCTATTTCGATAGTCGACAACTTGAATGATTACTTCTCTGCGATCAAGGATGAATTAAAAAATCTTCCATTAGACGAATTGACAAAGGATTCGTTTAAAATAGTTCCTACATTACTATCGGAGATAAATTCTAGACTTGATTCTACGAACCAAGATCAAATTTGGCAACGTAATGCAATATTATTTCCGCTGGATTACAGTGTTTGGAAGAATTTGAATAATCAAATGGCCTTAGCTATTGCTTCATTAAGAGAAACCAAGATAAATGCTGTGGATTTGTCAAAGTCATATATAAAGATTGGAGAATTACGTCATATTCAGAGAGGTTTAATTATACACCCTGGTAACGAAATAGGTAGAAAAGCTTTGAATGGTTGCTTCACGTAAGTGAGCGTTGTAGCATAATTTTGCATCACGAGAAAGAGAACAACCCGATAAGGTTTATTTACCATAGTTAACACTTTTACAGGGGCTTTCATTAAAATTAGAGGTCTTCTATTAATATATATAATATACATTGTATATAATAAAACACAGTATTCAAATCGATTGATCGGGCAACTAATAAATTTATAATTGATTTATTTGGGTGTCTTCGAAATTATTGTATGGAAATATTGAATCACACCGAATGTCTTACATCTCAATAAACATTTAATTATATAAAACAATCAATACTAAGAGCTGGTATAAACACAATATTACAAGCTCATATTGATATTTGGCCCCAAGCAAACTCTAAGGAGTTAATTTTGTTAATACAGAATGGTTTCCCCCGGACAAAATGACTTATCGACTGATAAAGGTTTGATCGATCCTTTTGTCAAAAAACAGAATGCCAAGCTAGTACAGGTAATTCAGAACTTCTTTAGCAAGTCGGTTCAGATAGTTCTACAGTCGAGGATACAATCAGAAGGCCATAATAACGAAGATCGGTTGAAGGTAGGAGGCGGTGCTGTGAATCATAATACAAGCTCAAAAATCAACAAATGGTTTAATTTGCATATGTATAATGATAATTTGCCGAAAGAGGAGCTTAAGTTATGGAAAAATGTCAATGATGTATCCCAGATGCCGCCCATGATTATTGAAGTATACTTGGATTTAAGACAATTGACTTCTAGGCAAACCGTGGTATTGCGGGACGATAACGGTAATCCATGGACAGTGGCGAAGGGTGGATCGAAAAAGCACGAAGTCGTTCTAGAAAGATGGCTTATTGAGTTTGATGCTAATATTGTTTCCGGTACTATAGTAGATGAATTGCCATTGATTTACAAACAGGCAATTATATTGTTTCGAAGTCTTTATGGCTACACGAGGCTCATGCCGGCATTTAAATTAAAGAAAAGTTTGAATAAATCAAATTTAAATATAGGATGTAAAATTCTTGATGGTAAACAGCCTATTAGCTCGAAAGGTAGGATTGGTCTTTCGAAGTCAATTATCCCCCACCAGATGTTGACTACCGAATCACACATGAGTCACAAGCATTTCTTGCCTATACAGACCACTTTGGGTACACTCAAGATTTCTATTGCATATAGGAATCATCATGAATTTTCACTTCATGATAATGAAGAGTTATTATCTACTCATTTCATCAATATTGATGATAATAAGGATGCAGACATAATCCTAACTGAAACCGAATCTAAGGAAGAGTTAAGTATTGAAAGAGAATCAACTAATGAAGATTTAAATAAACTAGAAGATGATGATGCTGAGAGTAGCCGTGAACATCTCCAATCTGAGGAGCCAGACCAATCATTAGAGCAGGATGCCAAACATATAAGCGGCTCTCATAAGAAATTCTCTATATCAAATAATGCGTCTATGTCTCTTTCGCCTTGTTCATCTGGTCCTCAAACTGTAAAGGAAGATTCATCTTATAAAAAGCCATCGACGAATACACCTCCGATCGTATCACAGCGGCCAACTATAAATCCATTCAAAGTTGGGTCTATCAGTAGTTCTCCTCCGGCGACGACAAATTTCGGAGGATCCTCTTTAGAGAGAAAAGTGTCGATCACGAGTAATAAATCAGCATCAAATGCATCATTGGCCGCTATGTTACGAAATCCAAGGAGCAGTACTTCTTCAACCAACACGACTGCCAACATTCCCATTGCAAATAATAATTCGAATAATCAATACAATTCGGCATTTCCTCGTTCTGTTTCCTCTTCACATGGGTCTAACTTGGCCCATGATAATGATAACATTATTGGGTTTTCAAATCCAGATAATACTTCAAATACACCACGATTCTCATCATCATTTGGTTCCAGGGCTAGCAGAAGGTTTTCTAACACAAGTGGTCGCCAGAGTAGCTTACCATCTAGTAACTTGAATGATACATCGCTCTTGGCTACAAGTGCTGGACTGGCTTCATCTGATGCTCCAATGAGTGGACTCTACATAGATGATGACATAGGTGATTTTGTACGGATGATTGATAGCAAATCTGACCTAAGATTTTCAAGTTATAATTCAAACAATGATTCTAAGATTTTGTATAATCAAGGTTCAAACAGTCAGATAGATGCCTTGAATAAATTCCAAATGTTGAAGAATCAGCATCAGCAATTAAGTGATAGTGTTAGTGCCAGCTTAATCTTGCATCATAACCAACTCAGTGGAAGCAGACCATCAAGCAGAAAATCTTCACATTCTATTCACTCGCCACCCCCTTCGTTACCATCAGGTTCTTATGATAATTCACATTTACCATCCATTAATTCCAAATTAAGAGAAAACAGTAGCACCAGTGGATATGAAGATGATAATGGTAGAGATTCTGGTGCCCCCTCTTCAAGAAAAGATAGCTTTGATTATACAACTAATAGCAACACGACATTCTTGAAAAATCCAATTGTTAATAAGTTGGTATCATCCCCAGTAACCTCAACAATGCCTATTCATTCGTCTTTACATAAAACTAATAACGAGCCAGGTGTTATCTCAGGCTTGGCTACTACGCCTTCTATCTATAACGATCGCCGTCAAATTCATTATGAGAGTGTATTTGATGATGATGATGATGATGACTATGCGACTAATGGCAGAGACAACCGCAATCAAGACGATAGTCTAAAATTATATCTCACCAATAAGCTTGCAAACGCATCTAAATCCAGCACCAACTCAAGAAGTCTTAAATCTTCTTCTAATCCTCCGAATATTGGTGATGACGATGATGATGATTTATTATTTACTATGAGTGACATGAATCTTGCTAAACATTGAGATTTATAACCCCCTATATATATATATATATATATATGCTTCGTTTAATAATATAATCTGAATATGGTACTCTCTATTTAGTATTTACAATACTTTCTACCTTATCTATAGTACTATATTAGCGAGCTTCAAATGGGAAAGTGTGGAATTCGCGATGTTACCCCAGCAAAAGTCTTCTTCCGGGAATTGTTTTCAAGGGAACATATTATAGAGTATTGTAGTATAAAGAATATCTATGAATAAATAATGTATTCACTCGTTCAGGGAAGGCTTAATTACAGTCGGCTCAAAGTATTGACATATATTCCTCGAAATCTCTTTCACTATTCAAATAGGTTGAACTTACAATCCCCATTAGAGGCTTACAACTCCAAAGTGGAAGAAGGAAGGCTAAATGATGACCCATATCAAAGAAAAATCATCACTAATTTATCCAAACTACATGACAAGTTAGCAGATTATGTTCCACCAAAAGTAGAAACACCTACTATAAGTGATTTGAAGCCAAAGATAGGTTTACGAAAAATAATTGGATCGTTTTTCAGTAATTCAAGTAATAATAATTCATCTAGTCTACCACCTGAGCATAATATGAAAGGTATATATCTTTACGGAGATGTTGGATGTGGTAAAACTATGTTGATGGACCTATTCTACGTTACAATTCCTGAGCATTTGACCAAAAAAAGACTTCATTTTCATCAATTTATGCAACATTTACACAAGAGATCACATCTGCTTAAATTGGAACACAATCACGAAGAGTTGGATGTCATACCCTTATTGGCTGCAGAGATTGCTCAGGAATCAACAATACTTTGTTTCGATGAATTTCAAGTCACAGACGTTGCAGATGCAATGTTGTTGAGAAGGTTGATGATGTTATTATTGAGTCCAGATTACGGTGTCATCTTGTTTGCCACCTCTAATAGAGCACCAGATGATTTATACATTAATGGGATCCAAAGGGTGTCATTTATTCCTTGTATTCAACAGATAAAGAGACAAACTAGAGTCATTTATTTGAATTCTCCTACAGACTACAGAAAGCTTCCTAGACCCATTTCTTCTGTATATTGTTTTCCAAAACCAGGGGTAAAATACTTATCCAAAGTACACCAAGCTAACTGCAAAAAGCATATTCAGCAGTGGTATGAATACTTCAATAACGAAAATGACAATAAGGATGTACACACTGATTTCACATTACTGGTATGGGGCAGAAAGTTGAACGTTCCTAAAAGTTCCTTTCCTTATGTTGCGCAATATACTTTTGAAGAATTATGTGGGTGTCCAATGGCCGCAGGTGATTATTTAACCTTAGCTAATTCATTCCAATCTTTCATAATTTCTGATATTCCATATTTAAGCATCGACGTCAGAGATAAAGTCAGACGGTTCATTATATTTTTAGATGCCGTATACGATGTGCACGGAAGATTAGCTGTGACCTGTGCTGCACCATTTAAGGATTTATTTGTAGAACCTGAAAATTTGATGAAGGACAATTTCCTGTTGTATAAGAAGCAACAAGACATGGGTAAAGAAGAGACTTTCCAGGACGACGAATTAGTTGTCAAGCATGGGTTTGACAAGAGCATTGCAAAGAAGGCTTCTATGTTTGCAAATGATGAAGAAAAATTTGCTTTTGCCAGAGCTTTATCGAGACTTTCGCAAATGAGTACCACTGATTGGGTTGATAATGTTAGAAGTATTTGATTTTAGACTAGATGCATATTCATTTAAAAAAATAGCTTTCTTGTCCCTCTTTAATGTACTCTTACAGTATAATATTAGACTATTTATAACTATAATCCTCCACTGTATCCCCCACATATATCAATGTTCCGTGCCTTCATTAGCTTGGTGTAAGGATGTCAAAGAAAAGGTAATAGTAAAGTATACCAAAACCCTCGTATTCTCTAAGATGACATTTTGGCTCAATTCTTATAAGTAGCACATCTTAACGGTACATAGAGGTTTTACATTTATATTCGTATGAGTATTAGTTTCCTCTATGGTTGCTGGAATTTCCATTCATGATGTGAGAAAAATACACATTGCATATGACGTTTCTATATAACATCGTCCTACTTTGTAACTAGAACTATACATAAACAGTTGCACAGAATCTCCTCTGCCATAAATTGCCTGTAAACTATCCTTACCCAGGGTGTACCCTAAGGCTGGCAAAATATTTCAATTTGCAATGGCTAATGGCTGGATGTAATATTGACGTGCATGCACCGCATCTTATTGTTCGTGTATTGACCAGCTCGTTTCATTTGCAATTGTTGCTTTGTTTACAGTGGTAAGCACCTTCATAATCATAACGATATAATAAACGATTCTCTGATTAAACCTAGTTTAAAATTCCTATCAGAAAGGTTTTGTATACTAGTTGATTATTCTTTGAAACAAATCAAAAAATCGTGCAGTTTTTTTAACATCTATCGCTTATTCACTCGCTTTTCGTATACTACGTGGTAGTTTGATTCCTGAATCAAACATTGGATTGAATTTACAATCATAAGGGACAGAAGTTTGATTAGCTGTTTACTAAAAACATATCTGAATATCGCTTTTTTTTTAAGTATATTGCTAATAATATGAATCACGCAAATCATTCACAATCTTCGTTAAATGATAACAACTATTACGATATTTCTATCGGCAAAAATGTGTCGGGAAATAGCATGAATGGAAATAAGTCGTTTCCGTCAGTTTATCCTCCTAGAAGAGTTGGTTCATTAAGCTCGTTACTAACTTTAAATGAATCCAAAAGACCAGGCGATTATTATATTCAAAAAATGAGCAACAGTTCGATTAACCTAACAGGAGCCAACTCAAAATCAAAGCATGCGCTCAACGTTGCTAATAGACCTAAATCTGGTGAATCTATACTATCGTTGCAATCGAATTATTCCGACGAGACTTCGCTGGCAAACTCGTCCCAATTTGATGTGCCAGATTCAAGGTTAAGCTCGTTGACAAGCAACTCTCTTATTTCCCCAAGTCAGTCACCATCTCATAATCTGTTTTGTGCTAATAATAATTCCAGTGCAAATACTAGTGGCTCCACTGACTCTAATGATAAAACTAATGACAAAATTAATGAAGAAAATGAAAATGAGGATGAAAGCAACGATCAAATTAATTCATCTTTATCAACACTAACTTTGAAAAACAAAAGTATTGACTCCAGCTCTGATCTTTCATATAATCAATCACCTTCGACAAGTCAAGTGAGCAGGCCAAGATTAAAGGCATCGTCAACAACAAATGTCATCAAACAAAGACCCCCAAAACTTCAGACAATAAAGTCTGCTACTTCCTTACAAAGAACCAAAACTAAGTTTCTCAGTGCTAAAGAAACTAAGGAAAGACAACAATTACGCAAAAAGCTTTATGATGAGAATGACGATGACGACGACATACTAGCCAATGATCTTGATATTTTCAATGTTCCAGTTATTAAAAACCACGCTGAATTATACATCAATAAGAATTCTTCGAAGTATTTATCTCGCCATGACTTAGTAACTGATGATAGCAAGTATAATGTGAATACGTCAACTGAAATGAAGCCTTGCCCATTACCTGGTAGATTAAATTCAACTTCTGATATTACTCGAAGCTCTAATATAAGATCTGATATCTCAGATGATAGTATCTTGGAAGAAAGTGAACATTCATTTTCCTTTAGTACAGATAATGATGGTGAAATTTCTCAAAATATTTCAAACTTTTATAATCAAAGGTCGGAATCATTTTCAAAATTAATGAAAATGACTAGAGAACAGGATATGATATATAAACTTCCAAATTTTATAAAGTCTCAATCTTCCATCGAAGATATCAATTTAATTTCGCCTGAGAAAATAAACTGCTTGGATCAAACCAGACCGATTAATCTTCCCCCAAAAAATAACACTGATAAATCGAAGCACAATAAAGAATTTAAACGAGTATTAAATAATTACGAGAACAATACAAAATTAGCCAATGAAACAAGGAAGAGAATCAGTGAATCAATAGTTAATCAACAACAACAATGGTTTAAATTAATGATGAGTAGTAAAAAAGAGTTCAACAAGAAGTTAACAAGTGATAAAGCTATGGTTAGAAAATTATCGTGGGAATCCAATTGTCCTGATAAGTTTAGATACGACTTTTTTATGAATGCACTTTCAAATGATGATGACCAGACCATTACGAACTTGAAAGATTCATTCCAGGCATCCCAAGAGAAATATAGTAACTTATCTCATTCTATTAAAGTTAATAAGGATATTGAGTTTAATAATGTCATAGAATTAATTTTGCAACGACCACTATACGATTCGATTATGAAAGAATTACATGAAAATATTGAAGTCAATTTCAATTTAGATGATTTTAAGAACAACCTTAGACATTTGCTTTATATTAAATCGTTATCCGAAAATGGTTTACGAAAGCAGGATGAAATTTTCTTGATTCCATTCTTTTTAATCTTATTCCAGAATGGAAATACAATGCAAGAAATCTACGTATTGATTGAGTTAGTTAATCATAATGTTTTGGATGATGAATTTTTGAAAGAATTGAATAAATCATTGGGTGCTTGGACAAATGTTAACAATTTTTCCTCCTCAAGCATGTTATATAAATTCCTATACAAGTTCAACAATCCGAAAGAATTTGAAAATTTAAATTCCATTCGTTTCTTTGAAATCCTTATTCAAATTAACGATAAATTGCCATTGAGTTTATCCGCCCCTTCGACTCCAATAGTTAGTCAATCAGGGCAATTTTCATTTACTAGTCCAAAAACTAATGGCAGTGAATCTAATAATTCTTCAAAAACAAACTCGATCGACCAGATGAATGACTTGAATATACAGAATGCATTGAACTCGTCGTCTTATAATCTAATTTTGAAGTTTCTTCAGTTAATTATAGTTTATGCACATTCTAAAAAGACAAAGAGTAAAAATAATTTAAAGGTTTTTCAAAGTTTCCTTATGATTATCTTCCAATACTATCACATAAACTGGAATAATTTTAGCGAGTTAGTTAAATTGAATAGATCAATTAAACTAAATAATAGTGCTGATCAATCTGCCAATTTAGATAGCTTTGCTGACAAATGGAAAGATGTTTTCAAACGATTTTAATTAATAGAAAGATAATAAAAAGAAAAAAATCTTTCTATGACTACTGGGTTTGGTATATATATAATTTTTAGTTCTAGTATTTATTATGTCTGTTAAATGTATAAATTTATATTGTACATATTGTTACATATCCATATCTAATTCTATAGAATCGGGATTAATTTCTTCCTTAGACTCAGACATGTTAATGGAGGATACTTTGGGTCCCTCAGAGGACTTTACAAATCCCATTGGGTTCAAAGAATTCCTCAAGATAACATCATTTTCAAATTCTGTGACAATTTTTCTCTTATATCTAAGCATATCTTTGAAGGTAGATTCAGTACCGTGGCTTAATTCAAATGTTTCCCAGGTATTCCATACTGGTTCTAACAAAGGACTTTGAGGGTTAGATAATTGACACACAAATTTAAATAAAGATCTGACCCGATTAAATTCCATTAGCTCAGTTTCAAAGTTGATAAATTCCCTTGCTAATTGAATCAAACTAGGCAATGGTAATTGGGTGTCTTTGAGTGATTGCTCATAAATCTTTCTAGTCTCATTAGAGTCATTAAGCTTGAGAACTTTAGATATCAAAATTTGATAAATGTCAAACTTGTCTTGAAGTATGGTATCCTTTTCTGTCTTTGTATAGGAGTCCTGTTTATAACCATCTTCCAATTTACTCAATCCTTGTTGTAATATTTTAATTGATTTGGTAATCCACCCTTTACTTTGCTCATATTGAGAGTATAACAAATATACAGATTTGCTTAAGTTGGCAGGGCATCCCTTATAACCCTCTATAGAGGATTCGTTTAAGCATTGTTCGAATAAATCTCTAATTCTCTCAATATTTACATCGTGTTTTATTATCTTCGAAAGGTATATATTCCAAATTTCGAATTTAATCTTGGTATCTTTAAATATCTTCAATCCAATTTCATAAACAGAGAATGACCGTTCGTAAAAATTCCAATCTTCCAAAAAATTTGCAAAATTAATTATAGTTAAGGGAGTAGCAATTTTGAGTTCAATTGTTTTATTATATGCATTGATAACCTTTTCAATCTCATCAGTCTGATTATTGTTCTCTATCATTGACTCTAATAAATCCAAATAAAATGACCATATTTTAATGGACTTACGAACTCTTATATGAATATCAATAGAAGGATCACTGTAATCAAACTTGACAAGTTCTGAAGTACATATATTCTCAATAATTTCAATAGCTTTCTTATCGTCGTTATGTTTCACGAAGAGTTCACTCCATTCAATATATAAAGTTGCAAGATCATCTGGTGATTGAAATTGGGATTTTACAGATTTTGAGAAAATAAGGTTTGCTGTCTTTACATCATTCTGTGAAGCGTAAACATTTGCGTAATTAACCCATAGGTTAGGCAAGGTGTTTTCTTTATTATTGGAGAAAGAATGAGCTTTCAAAGGATTAATGGTTCTCAATGCAGCTGCGTAAGTATCAAGCATCATGTTGATATTTTTTTCCTCCTTGAAAAGTTCTATTTTTTTAAACCATTCATCCAAATTATTCACATCTTGTCTTAACATCATGTCATTCAATAAATGTGGTCTATCATTTATTAATTTTTCAAAAGCAATCATTCTCATATCCAACTCATTATTTAAATCACTATCTTCACCTAGTCTTTCTAGTTTTTCACTCATATTGGATAAAATGTTTTCTTCGAATTCAGTGTATGAATCGAATATCATAGTAAAATCTTTAACTGAAACACATGTTTTCAACCCTTCATCAAAATAATATCTAGCCTTAAAAAGATTCTTACGCTTGATAAAATAAAATGTCAATTTTAAGTAAAACTTACCTATTTGGTCTGGAAATTTTTGTAATCCATCCTTGATTAATTTTTCAAAGAAGTAGTCAAGTTCATTATAATTGACAGTACCTCGTTTATTTTTTGAAACGGAGTTTACTAGCAAGTCGATATATTCAACCCACAACTGTAATGGTGACTTAGATAATCCAATAAACTTATCAGTATGCTGTAAAATATGCTGGAATAAGTTGGATGCCTCTTTAACATCACCAAACTCTATCAACTTCGAAATTATGTCATCTACAGTTATTCCTAGTTCACCCTCTTGCTCATTATTTAATCCTTGAAGTGACTCGGGAGTAGCATATTGCAAATACTTCAAGTAAACCTTGACTCCTGTCATCCCTCCAACATCATCTGCAAATCGAATATACAATGGCCATATTAAATGATGTTGACTTATTGGCAAGTTATATAAACATTCGTTGAACTTTCTTCTTAGCAATGTTATTTCATAAGGTTGTTTCTCAACTAGAAAATCAAGATATTTAATCCATAACATTGGTGCTCTGTTGAGTAATTGTAGCGATCTTTCGAATATCACATTCACTTGAACTATCTCAGATTTACTCTTATAGCTATTCGAGTTCTGCATTTCTTGCAAAACTATGTCGATATACAACATCCATAACTTGTATGATCTTGGAAGTTGTTTAACTGCTCTCTCTAAAATGAATACTCTGCTTCGAAATGTACATGATGATGCCGATGATTTAAATCTGTAATATCTCAACCAATTTGATAAATCATTAGGATTTTTCGCTAATTCTTGTTCGTATGGAATATCTTCTTCCTTAACTAATTCCCCTATATCCCATATCGATCCAGACATACTGTAGCTTTATTTATGTGGTCCTTTTTCACTATTTAATGTCTTCTCTTATCAAGTATTTACCTACAATTCTCAAATTACACAAAACAGATTTCTTCCAAATTGTGAATTTACTCTCCTTTTAATAAACTGGATAGCTAAACATTGTTAATCAATTGAAAAGATACGTATTAGATATAACAGTTGATCATGTCTGGTGCTGGAAATAGAGAACAAGTGTTCCCCACCCGTATGACTTTAGGGGTAATGAAGGGTAAATTGAAAGGTGCTCAGCAGGGACATTCGCTTTTAAAGAGAAAATCCGAAGCGTTGACCAAAAGATTCAGAGATATCACCCAAAGAATCGATGATGCAAAGAGAAAGATGGGTAGAGTAATGCAAACTGCAGCTTTCTCTTTAGCAGAAGTGCAATATGCCACTGGTGATAATATCTCATATCAGGTTCAAGAGTCCGTACAAAATGCCAGATTTCAAGTCAAAGCCAAGCAAGAAAACGTTTCTGGTGTTTACTTACCAACATTCGAAAGTCACATTAATGAAGATATCAACGATTTTAAGATGACTGGTTTAGGTAGAGGTGGTCAACAAGTTCAAAAAGCTAAAATGGTGTACACTAAGGCAGTGGAGACCTTGGTTGAATTGGCCTCATTGCAAACCGCATTTATAATTTTGGATGAAGTTATTAAGGTCACCAATAGAAGAGTTAATGCCATTGAGCATGTTATTATTCCTAGAACTGAGAATACTATCAGTTATATTAACTCAGAATTGGATGAATTGGACAGAGAAGAGTTCTATCGTTTGAAAAAAGTCCAGGAAAAGAAGCAAGAGGCTGCAGCAATTACCGAAGCCGAAGAAGCAGAAAGTAAAACCAAAACTCTGCAACAAATTGATGAGGCTGAGGTCGAAAAGGAAGTCGCTGGTTTGGATATTAAGGCACATGGTGAGGAAGACCTATTAAAAGAAACTGAAGATGATGTTATATTCTGATATTTGTATATATTAGCATTATTTTCAATTCATATACTTCTTTTCCTGCTCTAAATTTATTTACACCTTCATACGATTTCAATATATACATTAGTCCGCTAGATACTGTGTCGTAATTTAAACCCACATGATGAAGTTGTTGAACATCTTGAGCCACAATTATATATCCGAAATGTATATTGAGATGTATATTATATACAAGCTTATGGTATCTCAACTGTATGCTGTCTATTTCTCGGAATAATTGGTTCGTTTTCAGCGATCATTGTTCCGTTATCTTTTACACAACCGAACATGGTTCCCGAGAAAAGATTTTACGAGGTTTTACGGCTGCTTTTACCAAACACCGGATGATTAGGTTACTAAAAATATGCTAATATTGACTGTACATTTATTATCTAATACAACTATACATTTCATACATAAAATTCTAGTACATCGTCTATGGAGCAGAGTAACCACCATCGACTAATAAGTCCGATCCTGTAGTGTAAGTAGACGCATCGGATGCAAAATATAAGTAAGCACCAACTAATTCTTGTGGAAGAGCTTCTCTTCCTAATGGAATTAATTGCCACCACTTAGCCTTGACATCGTCCGGAACGAAGTCGGAAATTTCTGTGGCAATATAACCAGGTGAAATGGTGTTAACTCTAGCGAATGGGGCCCATTCGACAGCTAATGACTTACTCAAGTGCAAAACACCGGCCTTTGCGGCGTTGTATGGAGCTTGCAATTGTGGAACATTCACAATGTGGCCAGACATTGATGCTGTGAACACAAGCGAACCCTTACCATTCTTCTTGAAAATCTTTCCGACAGCCTTAGCGCAATAGTAGACACCACTCAAGTCCAAATCTATAACCTTCTTCCACGAATCATATCCTTCAACTTCAATACTTCTACCTTCTGTCCATGGAACACCGGCATTGGCAACGAAAACGTCAATGGTACCGAAATCCTTTTCAATTTGTCCAATTACCTTTTCGACGTCTTCTGGATCAGAAATGTTACACTTGTATGCCTTCGACTTCACACCGTAAGTCTTAGTTAAGTATTCAGCCTTAGCATCTGCATTTTTAGAATTGTACCAAACAGCAACGTCTGCTCCTGCTTGGGCATAAGCTTCAGCTACAGCCCAACCAATCCCTCCTGAGGAACCGGTGACAGAAGCTACCTTACCCTTTAATGAGAACAAATCATTCACATTCTTAGAAAGTTGTGGGGCCTTAGTTGGTAATGGGCCTACCTGCTCGTTAATAACTGATGTTGGGTGTGACATTTTCGATCTTTGTTAGTTTGGAGTACTAATATTAGCTATTGTTTGCTAGTTTTTGAAACTTAAATAAGAAACTAAACGACAAGTATGGAAAATCGGAGATTTGACTCCCTTATATAGCACTGGGGCATGGACGTGGGGGTTGCTACAAATGACGCATTAGGTTTTGCCCGGCCACGACCGGAAAATCTACGATTACTTCACTATACATATTTCAAATTAACTACGTAAATGCTACGTAATGGTTACCGGAATTAGTAAACACGAACTGCAGAACGCACTGGCTTACCGTCATTTTCATCCAACTCTGTGGCTTTAACAACATCTCTGTAATCCAATGAAAGTATTGTTTTCACTGGTTTCAAGTACCCTCACTACGGTGAGGTGTAAACTATTTTAGAAACTTTAACGAAAGACTTTCGAGGACATATATACAAAGGATACTAAGAAATATACAACTGTCTTCAATGATTAACTTTCTGCTATTTTAACGAAATTGTGCCCTTTTATACTCTCTGATCAAAAAGGTCGACCACTCCGTCCGTTTTAGACAATTACTCCGTCCGTTAGTGAGGTGTACTGTCGCCCTAATTACATAAGGAGGGGAGCTTATCTTACTATAAAACTGAATAGTAACTGAGATACGTAATGCAGTGTATAAAGAGATAGCCATTGAGATATGACGGTATTGACGGTGATCATATTAACCTAATCTATAGATTCTATCATGTAGTTCTTAAAATCGAAATAATTTTCTATAGTTATATTGTAAGTCACATTTCCATTATTATTGTACTATGATCAATAGATAGAAATAGCAAGCTGAATTTAGGAAAATAATGATTGAGAAAGAAGACAAACAGTTTGAAGTGGAAAAAGAAAGCATTGATATTGATAGCTATGAGAAGAAACCTCAAACTGAGCACACTTAATAAAGTACTTACAAATATAGATAATTACTTTAATCAATTTTATAGGTAAATCCGCATATAAAATTATTAGACTAATTCCCATATCATATTTGACTTCTTATACATAAATTAGGTTGATCATGAATATCATATTTCTCCATATTTGTTGATGTAATATTAGTCAGTATAATTTTTGTTGTAACTTGCTATTTCAGTTACCGAGACTCTATCAAGTACATCATCGTGTATAAACCTCCAAGTGATTGCAGCAGATAAACCTGGTCATATATTCAAAGGATTAAAACATAATACCCCAGAGAGAGAGAAAATGTCTTGTTAAAAGCTATTCTTAATTGAGTGTCAAGAAATTATTACATGCTGTATCTTTAGTTGAAAATATATTCTTCTTCAGACCAACTAAAAAGTTGGAATACTATACATATTACAGATTAACTACGTAAATGCTACGTAATGGTACCGCAATTAGTAAACACGAACTGCAGGAGGCACTGGTTTACAGTCATTTTCATCCAATGTGGTCTTAACAACATCTCTGTAATCCAATTTAACCTGATCACCAAAGTTCGTTTGGTAGGATAACGTGTGCTTACGCCAGTTTTCATCATCTCTGTTTGGATAATCATCCCTGGCATGGGCACCTCTTGATTCCTTTCTAGCAGCTGCAGAATATGCTGTCTGTGTAGCACAGGTCAATAAATTTTGCAATTCCAATGTTTCGACCAAATCCGAATTCCAGATCATCGATCTGTCGGTAGTCTTAACGTCCTTGAAGGTTTTGTCAATTTTGTCGATATTTTCGACACATTGGTCTAACAAGTCTTGAGTTCTGAAAACAGCACATCCTCTTTGCATAGTTTTCTGCATTTCAGCTCTGATAGACGCGGTGGTTTTGTCACCATCAGCGGTCCTCAAGTGGTGCAAGTTTTCAATCGATTCCTTACCCAAGTGCTCGTCCAATGGCTTTAAAGGAGTACCTGGTGTCAATTGATCGGTGATGGTATGTGCTACTGCTCTTCCGAATACCACCAAGTCTAATAACGAATTTGCTCCCAATCTATTTGCACCGTGGACGGAGGCACATGCGGCTTCACCACAAGCAAACAATCCTGGGACAATCTCATCCTTTCCATCAGGTCCCTTCTTCAAGACTTCGGTCTTGTAATTGGTAGGGATACCACCCATATTGTAATGAACAGTAGGCAAAATTGGGATTGGTTCCTTGGTGACATCGACCCCGGCGAAAATATGCGCAGTTTCCGAAATACCTGGTAATCTTTCCTTCAAAACAGATGGAGGCAAGTGGGACAATTGCAAATAGATGTGATCCTTTTCCTTACCTACACCTCTACCTTCATTGATTTCCATGGTCATCGCACGAGAAACCACATCTCTTGATGCCAAATCTTTAGCGTGAGGGGCATAACGTTCCATAAATCTTTCACCTTCAGAATTAAGTAAGAAACCACCTTCACCTCTTGCACCTTCAGTAATCAAACAACCAGAACCATAGATACCAGATGGGTGGAATTGAACGAATTCCATATCTTCTAATGGTAAGCCAGCTCTGGAAACCATAGCGAAACCATCTCCGGTACACGTGTGTGCAGAAGTACATGAGAAATAAGTTCTCCCATAACCACCGGTAGCAATAACAGTCTTATGGGCTTGGAATCTGTGGATTGTACCGTCTTCCTGGTTATAGGCGATAACACCAACACATTTTCCATCTTCCATCATCAAATCCATGGCAAAAAATTCAATAAAGAAATGGGTATCATTTCTCAAAGATTGTCCGTATAACGTGTGTAATAATGCATGTCCAGTTCTGTCAGCAACAGCACAGGTTCTGTATGCTTGTCCGCCTTTACCGAATTCTTTCGATTGTCCACCGAACGCTCTTTGATAGATTCTGCCTTCTTCGTTTCTGGAAAATGGAACACCGTAGTTTTCTAATTCGTAAATCGAGTCTGGGGCTTCCTTGGTCATGTAGTGGATAGCATCCTGATCTCCCAACCAATCTGATCCCTTCACTGTATCATACATGTGCCAATGCCAGTCATCCTTATGCATATTTCCCAACGCAGCATTGATACCCCCCTGAGCCGCAACCGTGTGTGATCTCGTTGGAAATAACTTTGAAATACAAGCAGTCTTAAACCCTGCATCAGATAATCCGTATGCTGCTCTTAATCCAGCACCACCGGCACCCACAACAAGACAATCGTACTGGTGATCAATGACATGATAGTCCTTTTGTAAGTATTTAGTTGCATTCAATTGACTTCCTTTAATATTCCCAATCGTCTGGAACCTAGCGGCTGATGTTCCGAAATATCTACGTAACATGATCAAATTACTATAAGGAAGAGTAATATTCACTATTGACGAAAAGTTAATAAAACCCCATATATTAGTAATATGAAATATTCCTGTATATTATGTAAAGAGCAATTTCATCATGATAAGCACTGAAGCACTTTATTCAGCATATAAAAGGGAATGTCTCTCCTAAACAGCGAGGGAGAGAGTCCCCTCTTATACTTATAATCCAATCACTTTCATTCTGTTTATGTGAACAAAATTTAGAAGGTGTACACTAAAGAACTTCTCTTTTCGCTAGAGTTGCACCTAAGATGTTAGGAAATTTCAAGTATGGGCAAATGGTCACCTCTCATCGATATAACGTTGGTCCTTAGTATCAGCTAGATTATCTGTGCTATCCTAATAACTGTATAATTTATGTTAATGGTTGGTTCAAGATAGTAATATACTCATTTTTCTCGGTTGCGCAAAATATCATTTATATCTCTGTGTGCATATTTCGCTACTTCTATAATACTTTAGTTTTCTCCTTCATATGTGTGTTGTTTTGTAAGCCTATGGTTTATTTAGTATCTATATGTTATATTTTGTATTCTAATCTCTATGTTTCATTTCATCGTCAACGCTATATAATGTGAATTTGAACTGACCGAATGGTTCCAGTCTAAAAATGGCTTTACAATGGTTTTCCTCCTTGTCCTGTGATATGAAGATGTCTTTCAAAGTTCCATTGGCTCCCATTGATACATTTTTATCTTGCGATAAGGGTACCACGCATGACCTGATCTATGAGATCTCTACGATTTTTATCGGGTGCTGTTTTAATTACTAAGTAAAATGAACTGTTTCCATGGCTAGATTGAGATTGAAGCCCTTCATAAGCTACATTTCAATTAGAAGTCCACATTTCAGGAAACTGTAACAATCTTTCCCGTAAAAGTGTTACAAATACGTCAACGAGTCTCTGGCTTTTACTATTGTAAAGACATTCATATTCAGGTGCATAGCAGAAAACTAAATTCAAACCTTTCCCTTCAGTTGTAATGAGATTTAATATAAAATGATACAAGGAACCTGTATTCAGACCAAACCATACATCTTCAATTTTCCATTCAGAATCTTCTTTATTTTTAGCAACCCCTAAGTTAGAGACCACAAGTGTGCTCTTACCTTCAAGTTTGCCAATTCTATCCGAATAAAAGGACCAGAAATTTGTTTTCCTTTGAAGACCTTTCGCTAAAAAGGATCTTCTATTGCGAAGAGCTGTAGACAATCTCAGATATGCTACATTCATATATTCCATTGTATGGATTTTGTTTGAAAAAGGTGGCATTGGGCCAAAGTTAACTATCTCGGCACCTTAACAGGTGCCGTAGAGGAAGTTAGGTAAATCATAATATCTTCTCCCATTGATAACAATACATGATGATGTTGAAAACATATTTTCCTTGGGATCCTTAATTCCTGTAAACACAGTTTCCTGGAGACATTGAAGGGCTATAATGTTGAAATATGGCGTAAGTGTCAAACTTTGTTTCTTACAAAAGCTGAGCATTTTTTTAACTTCTTCGTTGTTAAATGACAAAATCTTATATTTTGTAGAAAGGTCTCTAGAGATTGGCTTGTATTTGAACATGGTGTGTTTCAGTAATTCAAGATCATATGGATCGAAATTTTGAGCCAGAGTCCCTCTAAAAAGAGCTAGACTCTTTCTTAAACAAGGCATAAACGATGATACCCATTTGCAAAGTAAAGAGCTTTTAAAATAATTCAAGAACCAATAGTACAACGGGACATCAAATATATTAAGTATTTCTTCTCGTGCTTTGTCAATCTCAGTGGACTTTTCTTCAGAAGCTTCTTCCTTTTCAAATAATACAGACACTAATTTTAAATCCTCCGTTTTATTTGATAAGTTAGATAGTTCACGTAAAAGGTCTTTCTGAAATTCTAGGCCAGCTATACCGTCGAAAACCGAATGATCACAATAAAAGCAGATGAATTGCTCCGAAGGATTACATTTATTTTCGAATATAATAAGACGCCAAAGAGGGAGAAATGGTTCATTCATTGGACATATTAGCTTGTTTACTTCTTCCAAAATGTTGCTATCAAAGCTAGAATCAATCGACTTGAAAGTCACGACGTCTTCAAATCTTATACTTTTTACCTTCCTTACTTCGAAATTTTCACCATTCATTGGTTCATCCATATCTGTGGCACCCACTCGGTAAAAATTAAGAGTGAACCAAGAATTTCTAACAATCAATGCTCTCAAAGCATGAGATAACAATTCAGGTGTAAATCTATGATTCAATTTTACAGTTAAATTGAAATTAGTGTAGTGTTTATTTGTATTTCGACAAATATAACTTCTTTCATTGAACCCTGGTCGCCTTGACATAATGCTTAACCTATAATCTTTTTCTACTATAGGGACTTGAAGCAATTTTTTATCTCTGAGTCTTAATCAGTCATACGGCCATAATGTGAAAAGTTTCGCACATAAGTTTGGTGCTGCTTCCGAATACAAACATAGATGAGTCAGAATATATCGATATTCTATTTCACTTTCAAATAACAATTAAGAACTTTTATTTAAATGTTCAATTTCAAAAGGTATTACGATGTCTGATATTCGATGCCTGAAAGATCTACTAATGGTCTCTTTTCGTTAACCAGAGTACCAGAAATGGTGCAGTTCAATTCTTACGCATTTGGCACCCAAATCCAAGGCCTGCATATTAAAGCTAATCATATACATATATGAAGCCAGAGTGTTTATTTGCTGGTAAAAGCCCATTATTAGTAGAAACCAATGCCAAATCTTTAACTACAATTGAATTTAAAATATTAAGTTGTCTATAATTATATGATGGGAAAGTAAATATAAAAAAAATCTATTATACAAAAATCACTTAAAGCGAACAGTAACCACCATCGACGATAATGTCGGTACCAGTTGTGAAAGTAGATGCATCAGAACCTAAGTACAAGTAAGCACCAACTAATTCTCTTGGTAAACCTTGTCTACCCTTTGGAGTCATGGAGTACCACACGTTTTTGATGTCATCTGGAACGAAGTCAGATAATTCGGTTGCAATGTAACCTGGGGAAACGGTGTTAACTCTGGCGAATGGAGCCCATTCAGCAGCCAAAGACTTACCTAAGTGCAAAACACCAGCCTTAGCAGCATTGTAAGCAGCTTGTAATTGTGGAACGTTGACAATGTGAGCAGACATAGAAGCGGTCATGACTAAAGAACCTCTACCTTGTTGTCTGAAAATTCTACCAATGTGCTTAGCACAGTAGTAGACACCATTCAAGTCGACGTTCATGACGTTGTGCCATTCGTCATCGTTGTCTTGGTCAATCATGGCACCTGAGGTCCATGCGATACCAGCATTGGCGACAAAAATGTCAACTTCAGTGAAATCAGAGTGGATCTTTTCGATGACCTTTTGAACTTGTTCACCCTTTCTAACATCACAGTTGTAGAAGTTAATTTGGGTCTTTGGATATTTCTTTTGCAATTTTTCCAAGACTAATTGGTTTTCAGCGTAGTCCATAATGGCTAATTTGGATAATCCGGCTTGACAGTAAGCTTCAGAAATACAGTAACCAATACCACTGATACCACCAGTAACCACTGCTGCCTTACCGGTCAACAAAAATAATTCGAGAACTGATTCTGGTAAAGATGGGAATTGGGCTGGTAAAGAACCGATGTCCTTGTTGCAAACGGATTGTGGACCTTGAACTTGTTCGACTGTCATTTTTATGCTAATGTGATGGATAAATTTATTTATGATTTAATAAAAATCTCCCAATCTTACTCGATTCACACAGGTATTTATATTTTGCAAAACCTCTACCAGCTCCGCAAATAGCTTTGGTGTCCATCGGAAAATTTTAAAAAAGAAACAACTTTTATACACTCTTTACAAATCAAATGGCGATTTAGATGATAGGGAACAATAGTGATATGCATAGATGACCTACTTAAAAAAATTAGAAGAGATAATTACAGAATCGCGCGTCGGAGTTGCATTTGTGCCAGGTATTATGGCTGTAACGGTCGAAGTGCCCATACATTAGTGGCCGCCTTCCTAAATTTTACCACTAAACATTCCGAATTTCACATAGTTAAAAATTTTTGATAATAAAGGTTCATATGGGTAGGGTCATCTATACATATTGCACAATAATCCGCCTGGGTCTATGACGTACCCCAACGACAAGGTGTGGAGCTAGGGACAAGTGTTAAAGACAAGTGGTGAGGACAAGTGGTTGGAACAAGTGGCCAGTTTTACATGGGTATTGCACTATCAACAGTATCCGTCGATGAGCCTGTATGGTTGTGAGAGTTGGATACATTGTAAACGTGAGACTTATTCAACGGTCGGTGTCGTCATCTAAGTAGAACGTGCAGCCAGGGACATTGAACAAAAATTTCTTTTGCGATAGGATCGGAAGGAAGCGGAAAAACTATATGCGGTAGCAGACTATATATACAGAGTTGAAAATCATTGTTATTAAAAGGGC